CCTGCCTAAATAACATCACCGTAATTAATAAATCAACGCGCTTTCTTTAACAACAGTTGAATTGTATCGAAACACCACTGGATTAATTTATTCCAATCTTTATGAACGGTCACTTAAGTTTGCTCTCAGCTGTTGTTGGCAGCAGTCAGAAGTCAGTAGCAACCACAAGTACCTCTCGATATGTATCACGCGATCGTTTGTATACTCAATAGCTGCTATTGTTAGGTGTGCTATGTTCGTCATCTACAGTTTGCACGGTCGATTCTATTGTTGTCGACCTTGAAACAATCAGTACGCGATGAATGTATAAGTGAAGACCACGATTTGCATCCATCTCCACCATGGAAACGCTATTCCCCGCTTTGGCAAGATTGCCATATTTGTTAAACCACTGAACGAAAATTCCGTTCAGATGGAAGAAATTGGATATTTGATGATGGAGTATAAGCTGCTTTTCGTATTGAACTTCTTGACTATAGTTTAAAGATTTAAAGTATTTATTGTATTGTATAGTCCCTGGTTACCCACTGATTCTTTAAATTGTAAATCCATGCGCTCTTTCAAGAGCGCCCATAATGTAATATAGGAATGTTTAACTGCATGTACACGCAATTCAGTTCCCTCTAATTGAAACAGGCGTGTGGGTAATTTTTTTCTGTAATCACCATGCCATGAAAAGAGAGTTGAACCCAGATGCTGATAAGCCAAACCCTTAATCACTGTTCAATCCCACCATGTTTTTCTCACTGCCATCGATCACAAATAAGAATAGGGAAGCGATCATAACGCTGCATTACAGGCAATAGACGGCATTTATTTAAGCGATAATAAGAATCTCGAACAGAGAGCGTAACTTGAAACGTGGCTGTTATTTGCTGTAGTCTGATATTAGATGAAAGGCAATATCCATAGATACCTTGCAGTTTTCCAAATATTCATAGAACACCTCTGAAAATCCTTGAACTGACTGCTGCCAGCCGCTATGGAAGTTTCTGTTGCGTTTGGGTGTAAGGCAAAAATCATGAAACTCAATCTCAATCTCAGTTTGTAGAGATTTGCAGCTGGTGAGTTTTGTTAGTTTGATATTCCGAGCTGCGATATCACAGCTTGCAAAATCAACCGCAGTTTTATGCCTGTTGATTTTTGTCTACGAAAATCAAGCGTGATCTTGGGCGTTGGTGCTGCTACCTAACGCTACAACAAATTTAAACAGCACTTTTCAGTACTATAATATCTACCTTGTTTGACTCTTATTGCTTACGGACCCTTGTTTGGACCCTACCCGAGGTAATCCTGCTTGTATTTCGATTAGGAAAATTGCTCCTCGATCCTTAAGATTCTTGTAGTAATCTGCTCGATTTGGATAAATGTTTAACTGCCGACATAGCGCCTAAATGCAAAAGAAAAGGGCAATCTCTTGATCCCCCTTCTGATGAAATTAATTTGAGCAATCAATTTGATATGCTCACGGATGGTGAGAATGATCCATCATACAAGAAAAATTCCACTAAACTTTTCGGCTTAGTTCCAAGAAGGAATAGGTTCCCCCTATTATCATGACCAATTTCCATGCTCTTCGCACGGAGCTTTTGAACTTCGTTAAATTGAAATTTTCACTTCAAATTGACAGCTTCCAGTGAATCATTCGGATCCGGAGCTGAGCTGTGAGGTGGAGAGCTGCATTTCGCTTTTCGGTTATTTGCTATTATGCGGATCTTCCTCTCTCCCAGAGAATTATAGGAGGGGTGAGAGCACATATGCTGGAGGAATAACATCAGCTATAAGAGCTGGGTACGTAAATATATTGATTAATACCACTAGAAATTTAACATCGTGGAGCACATGGGAGAGAGAGAGCCATATATCTCCCATATAGCCACTTGGAAGTTTGATTTAACCGTTTATGCTATCGATCAGTCTTGGTTTACACGGTGACTGTTCTATGCGTAAGTGGAGTAATGAGTGCTTTTTAGAAAAGTTTCTCTATAAGTGACGGATTGAATGGTTTAGACTTGTGATCAGTGGTGCCTCGTAACCTCACTTTTTACCTGTTCAACGACTTTGAAAACGTGATTTAGAGCCACAACTATATTCAAATTGGTCTCAAAATTTATAGGGTCATCTAGTTTCACTAAGCGGTGCCAGTGGTGTAGTGGTAAGGGTTCGATCCCAGTCGGCACCGCCGGAATTTTCTGAGGCATAAAATCTCTGATCATGCCTTCCTTCGGAAGGGAAGTAAAGACGTTGGTCCCCGGCCCATGAGTTGATGGGGAGCTGCCTCCCTAGTGTCGGTAGCATTGGTACTCAGTACGAAAAACAAGATCGACGAAAAACAGATCAAAGAAAAAACACTGTAGTTTCACTAATTTGTATCGATTTACAGTAATAGCTTTTTATTTGTTTACGTTTTGAGAGTTGTTGAACAAGTAGATTGAGATTGTGGCAACGCCACTGCTTGTGATATCAGTGAGCTGATGAGCTGCGGTTCCAAAAAAAATGAACCCATCAGCTCGCTTGAGAGAATCGGGTCTTTAGAACAGCTCGGGAGCGGATCGCTCATCTCTGGCCTCCAACTGCTGTGCAACTCCGGTGTCCAATAGTTGCTCAATGTTAGGTCGTGGTGTTCGACTTTGACTCAGTCGATTTGATCGCATGCAGTACGTGCGAACGGAGAAGAATTTACCATCGATTAAAACGTGATTGATTTGGTTTTCTGCATGTAAATCAGGTAGCCACCAAATTTGTTTGTGAATGTCTTTGCATGGAACCATGTTCTTCAAACTGCCATTCTACGTGAGGCTACGAAGTTCGCGCATCATTGACCACTGACATTCAATACTGGCGTTGCTTCCCATCCTACATAAGGTGATTAATTACGAGTCCAATGCCCTATCACTTCAAGTTTTCAAGAGTACAAATCTCGAATGCCGCTACGGCATTGCTCATAAAATTAGAACTCCCTATTTGCTGCAAATATGTAATTCCAATTTCATTGTTAAGTGTTTTGATGGAGCTGATATTTGTACCCTTCAATATTTCAAGGTAAGGATAGTAAGATCAATCAAAAATAAGGTTTAGTTTCTCTAGAAGTGTCTACTGGCTGCTCTGGATAGGTTTCCGATTTCTCCAAGTAGATAAAATGAGATAATTTTCTGGGTTTTAGCATGGTTTCTGTACATAAAAGGAGATCAGGAAATGCAAATTTTCTTGGGAATTGTTTACCGGGATGTCAATCTGGTGAACTTCGTAGGAAAATTCTAATGAAATCGTCGGGAAAAATTTTAAGTTTTTAAGACTTCCAGAGTATGTACAAAAGTCTCTCCAGGACATCCAATGTTGTAGCTTTATTGGTTCCAAATTTCGTTTACTTTAAAAATTTCACCGTATGAAATGCAGGACGCAGGATCATCATATTTTCAAATAATAACCACGGAAATGCCATTAAAACACCAAATAAGTAGACATCATGTTCCCGTTGAGATGCATGTAAACCTGAATGAGCAGACGAAGAAGAAACTATAAACTCAAATATGAATGAAATGTCCACAAACAACACAACAAAACATTACCGAACCATTCAACCTGCTCCGGTGAACTTAACCCATATTTGTGGCACATCATTCGGTTTCATTACCCCATCAGCAATTCAACCATCCCTGCCAACAGACATTCAGAGCCCATCAAAGAAAAGGGACTCAAATTCATCCCCAACCGCAAATTTCCATCCATTCCGAGTATGGGAACCAATCACCACCGGCAGGCAGCATGCCCAGGAGCACCATTTTCCACCCGCTTAACGATGCTGTTCCATCTCGATGCAAATCGTTCACACAGTCAATATCGTTCCAATTCTACTCCGATCGTCCGAAAATCCTTCCCGATGATACGATATGTTATGCATGATATCATGGTAACCACAACATTTATGAGTATAGCCGTTTTCTTCTCATTGTAACGCTGTCACCATGCTTTTTGATGACCCACCAAAGAAATAAAAAAAAATGAAGAAGAATACTCCTTTGTATTCATACGTTTTTCGTCACATTTTCGGTCCTCGCTTGGCCGTATCCTGGTTACATACTAATTTAAGTGGACTATCGCTTCTCCGTGGTGGAACCCAGCGGAAGTCCGCTGGGGTAGGTTGAGTTGATTCTGGAGGGGGTCCATGCCAAGAAAGTATAGGTCAGAATGCCATCAAGGAGCATGGTACTTTTTCCAAGATCCACCAATCTCTTCCCAGTTACGCCTATGGCGAGCAATACTAAACGCAAACTAACTCAAGCGAAAACAACCTCCTTTTTCGATTTTTTTTTACTGTTGTGTTGTTGGAACCTGTCGCAAATGCCATCTTTCGAGGAGAGCATGGAAAAGAACCCATAGCAACCGTGAAGAAGCTGAGCGGTCGAACGTTTGGGGAGGTATTGCTGGTCCTGGGTAAGCGGGCGCGCGGTTTATGAATTTTCATACTATCCATCTTTTGGTTCGCCTTCGGGTGGGACAGAAAGCGATAGAAGCCAGCAGCCAGCGGGGCGAGAGGCCAAAGCGACAAAAGGCGCCGCGCGCTGCTGTTCCGTTACAGCTTCATATATTATTCATAAGTGAAATTTAAATAAAGAAACCATTCCATAAGGAGCGTTCGAGGCTTTGGCGTGTGATCGAAGGCAAAAGGATGGATCTGCTCTTCCTCTCGCCATATTGCCATCGTGTCGTTCAGCCGCGGCTCTTTTTTTTTTGTTTTTTTTTTTGGAAGTCTTTTAGTCGGTTGTTCAGTAGACACTTTAGTCGCTTTATGGCAGCAGCGGGAATGTTCGTCGATTTGGATTTAAGATGCATGGAAGCAGTTATAAATGGACAGGAATGAACCAAATTGGGCCATTTAATAAGTGGGAGGAATGGATCAAGTCGAGAAGCCGGAATTCTGACAATCGAAAATCAGAAATTAATGTTTAGAATTACAGCGGACAACCAATTCACGGGCAGGATAGTTAACCTGAGTAGCTATGCACAAATTGAGGGAGAAGAACTCTAAGGTAATTCCGAAAACAGATCCCAGGTATAATTCAGAGGAAAAATCCAAAGAAGTGCGTCAACAACGTGACGGTGGACCAGATGAACAGAACACTAGACGGCCAATATACCTGGTCCATCAAAAAAGGGTCCAACCTCCAGAGATCCGTTGTTATAGGAGTCCGCAAGGAAATCCCTCACCGAATCGTTGATCTGGATACCGACCTCCCAATCGTCGGCATTCAGATCCAGAATCCAATTAGCATCTCCATCGCCTGTGCCTATCTGCCCTGTGGAAGGCTGCTTAGCCTGGACAACCAGGTTCGCAGAATACTTGATCAGCTACCGGAACCCAAGATGTTTATAGGGGACCTGAACGGCCACCACCCGGCCTGGGGTTGCCAACGAGCGGACCCTAGAGGCGTAACCCTCTGCGATATTTTCGTGCAGGAAGGTCATTTTAAATGATGGCGGCCCAACGTTTTTCAACGGTCGGCACACCACTGTCATTCACGTGTCCACAGCCAGCCGTTCTCTGGCGGGCAAAGTGCTCTGGTTGATTAACCCAGATCTGTGCGGCAGCGACCACTATCCGGTACAGGTTCGGTTATCCACCGCATCGCCCCCAGAAAACACCCGAACACCGCGGTGGCGCTACGGGAAGCTGATTGGGAGGGTTTTCAGCACACGTACCGAGCCCTCGCGCAGAACCAGGAACCCACGACCATCCCAAGCATCACGGAAATCGTCTATAAAGCCGCTAGCACCAGTATACCAATAACTGGCTGTGTCCCCGGGCGGAAGGCACTCCGCTGGTGGAACGACGAAACCAAAAGGGCCAGGCGAAAAGCACTCCGGAAGCTCAAACGCACCTCCCCAAACGATCCAGCAAATGCCGACAGGAGATCCGGACGGCGAAACAAAATTGCTGGTCGAACTTTCTGGAGAGTATCAACGCCGAACAATCGTCAGCGGAGCTATGGAGTCGCATCAACGCCCTTAGCGGCAAGCGGCGATCATCTCCGCTTCAGATTCGAACAGACGCCGTCACCATCACTGATCCAACCGTCGTAGCAGACGAACTGGGCAAATACTTCGCCAAACTATCCGGCATCTCGGAGTACAGCGAAAGCTTCCGACAGCGAGTCCGCCCCTCTCTCTCCTCTGTGTCTACCTTCGGAATTCCTCCAGACAACGACGACCTACCGATCAACAGCCCACTCTCCTGGGAAGATCTCGGGTTCGCTTTCAGTCGGAGTAACGGGAACTCGGCTGGACCGGGCGAAATCAGCTACCCGCTGCTAAAGCACCTTTCACCCGAAGGCAACACGAAACTTCTCGACCTCTACAACCAACTCTGGACCGCTGAAGAATACCCGGAAAACTGGAGAGAAAGCCTCGTTATACCGTTACCGAAAACCAATGTCGGGACCAAAGACATTACTGGGTTCCGTCCCATTGCACTGACCTGCTGCATGGCGAAAGTCCTGGAACGGATGGTCAACAGGAGGTTGAAGCAATATCTCGAGGCCAAGGGGCTGCTTGACCATAGGCAGCACGCCTTCAGGCAAGGGTATGGCACCTCCACCTACTTCGCTACTCTTGGGGAAGTCCTGAAGGAGGCAAAGGACCAAGGTCATCACGCGGAGATCGTATCGCTAGACATCTAAAAAGCGTTCAACCGAACATGGATACCAGCTGTATTGAAGAAGCTTGCTGATTGGGGCCTGAAAGGACACATCCTTCACTTCGTCCGGAACTTTCTGACCGACCGATCTTTTCGGGTTTCGGTTGGAAACGTGCAATCCGGAAGTTTCAGTGAGGAAACCGGAGTGCCACAGGGTTCGGTGATCGCGGTCACCCTCTTCCTGGTGGCCATGAATGGGGTCTTTGACCAACTACCCAAGAACGTTTACATCTTCGTCTACGCGGATGACGTCCTCATTGTAACGGTGGGTCCCACCCTGCAGAGGACGAAACTGAGAGTGCAAGCGGCAGTCTCCTCGGTGGTCAAATCAAGGACCACTTCAGGGCAGGAGACAACTCACTGGCTTTACGCCGGACAGTTGTTGAAACTCTTGGGGCGCACTACCAAGGTTGTGAAGTTAGGTACACCGACGGCTCTCTCTCCAGGAGCGGAGTGGGAATGGGGTCTCCGGAGATGGTCTGCTTGTGAGCAGATCGCTCCCAACCCAATGCTCGGTGTTCTCAGCTGAGGCAGCAGCCATTCTCCACGTGGTTAAGCTACCGGCCAACCGGCCGATATTAGTTGCAACTGACTCACACAGCGTGATATTGGCCCTAACAACAGAAACACCGTAGGAAAATTCATAGTGTCAACATAGTCGTCTCGACCATGCTATTTCAGGCAAGTAAACATGCTATCCTAAGCATTCCTCTTCTGAAAAAATCTGAGATTCAGCTGCTGCATACGATCTCATCAACACATCACACCTGCTCTGTTTTGGTCTTCGACATCATCAAGTTCACATTCAAACTCTTCGTGGGAACCGGGACGCGTGCAATCAGTCGAGCTTGAAGCTGTTCATCGTCTTCATAGTCGTGCTGGCCTTGTGTTCCGAGATGATGACGAGGTCTTTCAGTCTGCACTTACAGGCAAGTATTCACATTATCGTTCCATTCCTAGCCCAGATGGTTTTCCATCTTCCAGCACGGCTCCTTCGTTAAGACAACAACCATTAGCGCATCATGGAATCTGTCACTTACACTCTAATGCTTCGTCACCGAGTATTGCCAACTAAATCGCTTAAGAGATTATGCTTAATGACTCTATCATGGTGTCATCCCCGGGATGCACAACCCTAAGCACTCTGGAAGCTTCTTTTCCACCCGTTTCAGTCACGCCGTATGTTGATGGGAGCAGTCGAAGTCGTCTCGGACCTATGTACGAAGTCGGAGAAGGGGTCTTCCAGCCTGCTGTTCCATGCAAGTACTTAAGCAGTGATCCAACGCTACAACTCCCTGCCAGAGAAAATTTGGACTCAGATGAACGTTGTCTCAACATCTACTACCAGAACGTTAGAGACTTACGCACTAAGATTGACGACTTCTTCCTTGCCGCTTCGGATTCTTGCTACGATCTCATCGTCCTCACTGAGACACAGCTTGATGACCGCATTTTGCCAACGCAACTGTTTGGCAGCTCGTACACTGTTTTTCGAAATGATCGCAATCCTGTAAACAGCACCAAATGCAGGGGTGGTGGCGTTCTTAGCACCGTGTCTTCACACTTGAGTTGCTGCATAGATTCTACACCTGTCTGTGTTACTCTTGAACAGTTGTGGATCAAGATCAAAACTCCCACCGGTAACGCTAGCATCGGGGTGATCTACTTGCCACCAGATCGGAGAGCAAATGTTGCTGACATCAATAACCACGTTAACTCTATTGGAGCAATTCTGTCGAATCTTGAAGTATCGGATATCGCAATTCAGTTTGGAGACTACAATCAATTCAATCTGCTTTGGTCTGATTCACTGAATAATCTTCCGGTCACGGATGTTCAGCAATCGTATCGCTTTGCACCTAGTTCGATTTTGGGGTTCGATGGGGTTCGATCGAAATCATCCTGCTGTTGAGGTCAACGTTCAGCTACTGCTCCCTACAATATTCGAGGATATCGTTGATCTGCAAAGCTTGGACTTTCACCGTGCTGATTAATCAAGCCATCATCAGCAGTGTTCTTCTTCGCCGACGTGCTCCAAAGCCGCCGTGGTCCAATTCGTGTTTTCATCAGCTGAAACCAGTAAGATTACATGCTCTACGAAATTTCTGCCGTTCTCGTTGCCCTGTTTTAAAGCGCATATTCACGCAAGCGAGTAACAGGTATTGACTGTACAACCGATTTCTTTACAAACGATACGTCATTCGGACGCAGAACAGCCTTCGTAGGAACCCGAAGCGGTTTTGGTCTTTCGTTAATTCCAAAAGGAAAGAAAATGGATTGCCTGTGAAGATGCGTCTCAAAGACGTATGCACTAGTACACTACAAGGAAAATGCAATTTTTTCGCGGAACACTTCAAGACTGCTTTCAATAACTCAGTGAAATCAGACTCGCAAATAGTTGCTGCTCTCGATGGTACTCCAAGGGATGCAATTGAATTCAGTACCTTCGATATCTCAAAGCATCATGTTGAAGCAGCCATAGACAAATTGAAATTCTCATTCTGGTCCCGACGGAATTCCCGCTTGTATATTGAAAAGATGTGCAGATGCTCTTGTCTACCCATTTTAGACTGTTTTATTCAATGCTTCCTTAGAGCAACGTAAATTCCCCACTTGTTGGAGAAAGGTGATAAAGCTGATATTGAAAACTATCGTGGAATCACATCGCTGTGTGCTTGTTCGAAGGTGTTCGAGATCATTGTAAATGATGCTTTGTTTGCTAACTGCCTGCGCTAAATTTCCACTGAACAACACGGATTCTTCCCAAAACGGTTTGTCTCAACGAATCAAGTTCAATTCCTCTCCATATGCCTGCGTGGCATGGATTCTGGTGCCCAAGTCGACGCTGTTTATACGGATCTGAAGGCCGTGTTCGATCGTGTTGACCATGGGATATTACTCGCTAGACTGGAAAAAATTGGAATGTCTCCTGCTTTTGTCACTTGGTTCAGATCGTACCCAACTAGTCGCACGCTGTGTATAAAAATTTGATCCGAACAATCTGAGACATTTTCCAACACCTTCGGAGTACCCCCGAGGAAGCAATCTGGGCCATTGTTATCCGTACTATTCATCAATGAAATCGAACTTATGTTGCCACCTGGATGCCGAAAGTTTTACGCGGACGATGTCAAGATCTACATGATAATTAGGAGTCTACTAGATTGTTTCGAGCTGCAGAGGATGGTAAACTGCTTTGAAACGTGGTGTTCTCGTAATTTTATGACGGTTAGCATTTTGAAATGCAGTATCATTTCGTTCCATCGAAAGATCAAACCGTTTGTTTTTGACTACTCTATCGCAGAACAGCCTCTCCAAAGAGTAACTCAAATACGAGACTTGGGTGTTATGCTAGATAGCGCTCTTACATTTCGAGTAAACTATAGCGGCAGCTTGGATTCATATTCAAAATTTCGGCAGAGTTCCGGGACCCACTCTGTCTACGATCCCTGTATTGCTCGCTGGTACGATCAATTTTGGAGTCAAGTGTGGTTGCCTGGTGCCCAAATCATGGTGTTGGATTGCTAGGATCGAATCAGTGCAGAAAAAATTCGTTCGATATGCACTTCGCACTCTCCCGTGGAATGATCCTTCCAACTTACCACCCTATGAGGAGCGTTGCCATCTTCTCGCACTAGAGACGCTAGAACGACGACGCTCCATCGCTCAAGCGGTTTTAGGGGCGAAAATGCTGAAAGGAGAAATTGATGCCCGAATATCCTGATCGAAATTAATTTGTACGCACCAGAGAGGAGACTAGGCCAGCGAGATTTCTTTCAACTTGACCATAAGAGCTTTTCAACAACGACTCTCTTTAAGGCGATAGCTTTTTGTAATACTCTAGTTTAAAAAGTTTTTATTTGTAATGTTCTATTCTTGTGCATACATTTAACCACAGACAAACAGACGTAACACTTCATTGTGCATCTTCGTTCACGCATTTAACGGTTGATTTAAATATTATCAGTTCCGCGAACTACTCGCCGCAGCGCTGGCATCGGATCACTTTGACGTTTCTATACATTCTATAGAACTTTCATGCAATATTGTTCGCGAGTTAGCGAGCAAGCTTTTTTTCCGCGAGAAACCCGAGAGATGTCGTTATTGAGGTCCTATGTTTTGAGATACTATGTTTTCAAGAAAAACTTTTTCAAAGAGTTACGTCTGTTTGCCTGTGATTTAACTATTCATTAAGACCACAAACGAGTCAGATGAATGATAGGTAAATAAACAAATAAACAAATAGAGAATTTTGGGGAGATTTTCTTAGGATTTTCTTCTTTCAAGTATGAAAGATTATGAACATTAATAACTCAGCTGCCCCTGGACCAATTTCAATAATTTTATGACCAATAGATCAAAAATATTCCTACGCAATGCTTCCGACTAATGATTTTCAACAAGAAACTATTGAAAAAGAGGTAATGTCAAGTATTGTCCAATGTACAAATAAAAAATGATAACTTTATAACTGTTTTCATGAAATAAACGTTCTTCCCAAACCCAGTCGTCATTATCGAGTACCACTTGGTTGCACATCATTCTGCTTTAACCTGAAAAGATATAAAAGAGCGCTGCTGTCTACCCTCAACTCATCACGATTCTTTGCTCGACTGTTGAGCTGTTCAGTCCGTATTTTCGCTCGAGTTCTCGTTTCGATTTTGTTTCGTTTTGTGCTGTCGCGTTACGCCATGGAAGCGTCGTCACCTTCTCGCGTTCAGGCAAGTTTACTTGAACTTGCAAACACGAAACAAATGGTGCGTAAACAGCGGGCTCTTCAAAGAAGGTACTAATCAAACCCAGCGCATCGCAGGATGACGCCGGAAAACGGATACTGAGAGCCAACCAGTATGCAGTACTTCCGGAAGAAAATGTCGATGGTGACGCCGTTCCCATTGCTAAAAGAGAGAGGATTCCCCCGCTTTTCGCCTCCTGTACTCACGGAAGTCCAGTACCTAGCTCTCCAGCTCCGTCGACATGTTC